TAATTATTATAAATTACTTATTTATTTCCGATTTCTCAATGTACTGTAAACTGTTATCATGTCCCAATAACATGTTAGTGTTTATCTGGGTTATTTAAGAGATAATGAACTAGAACTTTAACATGGCCTTGAGAAACAAACCCTTACAGAACCAAATATCAAATTTCATAAGGGATAATAACCCAAACTTTCGTTTCCTAATTTTAAGCACCCTGGTAAGGATCAACTTTCCGTAAGCTCTGTTCTGCAGTTCTCTGACAAAAAACCAACAGAAAACGAAAACCGCAACAATTATCCGTAACCCATTTACGGTGGCACACATCATTACCGTTCACCACCGAAAGTTCCCCTTCCTGGGCTCCCAACCTTTAAAATCTCGCCAGACCGAAATCGATTTGCCGAAGGCCTCGACAAAGCCTTTGCCACATAACTCAGGCCAAAACCGAACCAGGGTTGACTTCACAATCAGCTGTCGCAAGAGGAAATGCGGAAAATGGGGGCTGGTAAAGGGGTATACTCTTGAGAAAAGTTTTCGTCGGCACCAAATCAAATGCCGATTATCGCCCAGTTAGTTGCACTCACAAAGGAAACCGGGAAATCCGTTGAATTGAGAGTCGTAGTCACAGGCGAAATGGTAGCTCCAATTCGTGGCCTGGCACCAAATGTGGAGAACCCTCTCCCAACCTTCTCCCCTCCAGGACTCAGACCCCTGCTCTTTGAGGGAAACCTACGACTGTTCACTCATTATCGGAGTGTTTGTTTTATGAAGGTCGTTTCCAACAGCCCGCACAAAAGGATTCGGGCCACGCACGCACAGACATCGTCGGTGTCGCCTCCCCACTCTTTTTGCCCCAGCCCCTTGGTGTATTACCACCCCCAGCCACCCATCTCCAGCCCCAGAAATCTCGGATCCTTTCTGACAATGCTCACTTGGAGAAAAAACAAAATGTTCTTGGTGAGATACTTTGATATCATTCAATACCAAGCGAAATCCTTTCAAAATACCTTAATTATCAGAGGTTTCAGATAACTTATAAAGATTTTAACTGTTAAGAATATGTTCTTAAAAATTTGGGATCTCTGCTAAGGCTTTAAATATTATTTAACTAAGAATACATTCAAAGCTGCGTGAGTACTGTATAAATAAATTTTCCAGTACCTAATCTACTTTAGATTTTTGTATCTTAACATATTTTATAAGAAATAATAACCTTTATAGATCCTACTATATTTATATTTAGCAATGAATCATATAACCCAATAAAGTTATGATATGGGCTTCTTTTTGTTTCACAACTATGTTTAGTAATCCCCATTTTCCCCGGTGTGGGTCCTGCCATTTTGTCCATTGTTATCAGCCCGCTTTGCTCTTGCTTCTTCATCTGGTTTTCCTCTTTTCCTCCCTCCCAATTTTCCGGATCCCGCCCCTCCTTTGTTGTCCTCCCCTCGCCATTTCTGTTGACACTTTGCGTTATTGTTGACTGGTCCATCTGGGTGATATCCTTGATAAATCTCGGCTTTCGCTTGTCCAAGTAACCAAAAATTTGTCTTAACTTCAGCAAGTGCCAATAGCAAACATTGTGAGCAAAACGATGGGGGAAAACGGAGTGAAAAGATGGGAAAATCCAGCTCAAGTTCGTCATAATTGCTTATGACGATGAGTCGAGGGAAATCTGTTGGCCCGGCTTTCCCCCAGCCAGTTTGGCTTGGAGGCTGCGCATTAAATTATTTCTCATTATTGACAGTTTATCAAATTGATTTAACAAACCGCCCACCGAAACCTCCGTTTTGCCTCGATTTTCCCCGCTTTCCTCCGGTTTTCACCCATTTTCCCCTTTGAGCCAACTTAAGTGTTCGTGATAAATGTTATGGTTGTTTGCTAGCTTCTTTTCCGGACCCCCCTCGCTTTTCCACCCGCTTTTCCGCCCGCTATCTAAGCTTTAATGTGCTTTTGTTGCCTTTAGTTGTGAGTTTTGTGTATGTGTGTGGGTGGAATTTATGTAATGCCCAAAGTTGAAGCATACTTTTGGGCTGTTTACTTAATGTTTCTGCTCTGCTCTCAGCCACTCTCAACATTTTTAGTTAATTTTAGTTTGTTTGCCCAGGAAAGTGTACGTGTACTCAAGCTGGCTAAATGTTTTATTAATTTAAACGCACAACTGGGCGGAAAAGCAAAAGTTTCCATTCCATGGATTCCATCATGAAATAGTTATGCAGGTCCATTTGAGCATAAGGAATCTGGGAGTATGTATTATACATGGCATATTTAAAGTGTGGAAAACTATGCCCAAAGTGTGCAAGGGCTATCAGTAACGAATTTTAAAGTACAGTGAAAGGGAATATTTTCTGCATATTTAATTTCACTGGTAAAACTAGAATTTAAATATTAATGCTTTGATTTTCAGCCATTGCGGGTTTTATCAACTTTAAATATGGGAATATTCACCTAAGCATTTAGAGTTAATTTAGGGACTCCATTGTTTAAAATAAGCAAGAAAAACATATCTAATCTCTTCAGAGTTCATTAAAATATTCCCAAAATAATATTACTTCTAGAATTTAATTGAAATGTTGGTTTAATGTATTTATTTATTAAAGTCTGCAAGGGATATTAGTTTCAAATGTAAAAGTAAAGGAGTATTTTCTGCATATTTAATATCACTAGTAAAGCAAACAATTAAATATTTATTCTTTGATTTTCAGCCATTGCAGGTTTTATTGACTTTAAATATGGGAATATTAAACCGAGCACTTACTATTTATTTTAGAAATTTAATGCTTAAAGTAAACATGATATAAATCATATCTAATGTCTTCAGACCTAATTAAAATATTCTTTAATTAAATCATGCAATTAAATATGTCTTGTATAAATATTGTTTTTATTTAAATGTTAAAAATTACCCTTTGAGTATTTCCAGCAGGTAGCCTAATCTGCAGCCGGAATTACGAGTGGAAAGGCAATTTATAGGGCTTCCATGGCAATAGATATGATTTCCGTGCCAAGAAATATAAAATAAGAACGCAGTGGAGCCGAGTTCCCGGCTCTTTCCAATTTGACAGGATACTTGAGGATGCTTCAACTCAAACCGAATCGAATTTTAAGGGGAAAGCTGCTTTCACCGAGTGGGTATAATCCGATATTCGTTTCCCCTCTCTGCAGCTGCAGGGAAATTGTTTGCTATATATATTGTGTGCTCACAATATTGTTCTATTGTCGTCCTGCCATTGTAATTAAGCCCATGCCAGGATGGAGTGCATATCAAACACGTCCTGGGGCATTTGGCTGCGTCTCAAGTGGCAGGGAAATGGGAGTCTGGTCGGGGAAAAGGCTTCTGGTTTCCTCTGAAAATGCCATTGACAATGGCGACTTCTGCCGGGATTGTCACGTCCTTGTCTAAAATAAAGGAGTGGAAAAAGGAAAACTGGGGGCCTGACGTCTGAAGTGGCGTTGCATAAAAGATCCGGGACTAAATCCGTCGTCTTTTATATCCGACTGATTCGGGCCAATTTGTTTGTTTGCTTTCCATAACAGCAGTACAAACAATCGCCCGTTTACCCTGGTCACTTAATTGCCGACAATACTGGCCATCCATAATTTATGCAACATTTCACTCCGCCCACAAACAAATCTCTAATTTCTCTGTTGACTTTTAAATAATTTATTTGCCAAGCCAATGACTGGGAGATAGTATTTAAGGAGCCGGCATACCTACATTTGTATATTTTTCAAAATGTCATTGGCAAATGGTTAATTAAATATTTACCAGGACAAGCTGTAGTAAATTGTTGATTAATTATTGAGGAATTTCAACCGGCAGTCAAAGTCTCCCGGATGAAATGCTTTCTAGGGTTCGCCACTCTTGACTGCCGCTTGTTGCTGTTGTGCCGAAAACTTTCCAAAGTTTTCCCACCCATTTCGGATTCTGATTCTGATTTTTCGACATGCCAACACTTGTTTTGCCGACTGAGGTCTAAGTGATTTAGGCTAAACTTTTTCCCCGGAAATGTAGCGGGGAAAAGTTTCGTTGTTCTGCATAATCGTCTGTCGGAAGTGTATCGCAAAAAGAAGAGGGATTTCGCTGGGGCACAAGTGCATTACGGAGCAATCAATAAACTTGCTTTGCGCCCATATAGGAGTACTCAGCCGAACTCCGCTCCGGGAGTTGGCCCAGAGTCCTGCCTGTGGTCCAGGTTTATGGGCCGCCCATGTCGGGGATTAAATGTAGGTGGGCACATCTACATATTCATATTCCCGGCCCTGTGTGTGTTAGCCACGTGCCTGAACATGGCACAATCCTAGCCCAGCCGAGTCGTAATTCATATGCATAACATTAACGGGCGGGCGGATGCCGTAACATGAGCCACATGCCATCCTGCAGGATCCTAACTGGGCCAGCAAGCAAGTTTGAATAAAATATGTATGCCAACGAATTAACCTTAAACACTTTCAGGGGCTTTCAGGTGTGCGAGTCCCGGGCAGAAGGACGAACTCAAAGGTCCTGTGCACTTCACTGGCTCAGGCGGAACTAACAACGGGTGTTTCTGGGTTCTAAATTATTATTTACGAAGAATGAACTCAAGTAATCACTATAATTTCTTAAATATTAAAAGGAAGTTCGATTTGTAACTAGTTCAAATCATTAACAAATTATTGTAAGTATTAAAGAAACTCAGATCATGGCCCATTTTAACATATAATTTCTATAAACTATTATTTCATAACTTGTTAGAGAAATTGGAGATGCTCTTCAAATATTCGTAATTCTCGGTCTCTATTTTAATAAAATTTATTAAAATGTAGTTTGGTTTTAATACTCGTTTATAAAGTCACCCAAGAATATAATCTAATTTAAATATTGTTTTACTCTGCTCTATAACTATATGGTAAATATGTTTTTATTTATGAAAAACATTTCATTTTGAATATAATCATTTTATGGGCAACTAAAAGATCCCAAAAATCGTAAACAGGATTATTTTCAAAAAATGCGCAGCTTTATTTCTTGGAAAATCATTGACAAAATGGGTGACATATTACTGGATCGATCTGAAAACTCTACTTCTTGAGCAGGGTGGAGACGACGGCGGGGGCGGCGTAGGCGGAGTACACGGAGGGCGAGGCCACATAGGCGGCGGAGGAGTAGACAGAGGGGGCTGCGTAGACGGAGGGGGCGGCATAAACGGAGGGGGCGGCATAGGCAGAGTAGGCGCGGGGGAGGGCGGCCGAGTAGGTGGTCACAGGGGCGGCTGCGGCGTAAGTCAGGGCCGGAGCTGCGGCATAGGTGGCGACAGCGGGGGCCACAACATGAGCCTGGGCGGCGGCGATGAAGAGGGCCAAGCAGATGAGGAACTACAGGGAGTAAGGACAAATTCCAAAAGTTAAAATAGAAGATATTTATGAAGTAAGAAAATTAAATATTTTACCATTAAAGAAATATCAAGAAATATTTTTTTACCAAATATTTTGTGATAAAAAATGTATTATCTTTGTTTTCTATGTCTTAAGTATGTTTCTACAATTTTCTCTTACTTTCATGTTGATTTTTTTTTTGTGTTTGTGCTGGACGAACGTTCTCAAAGATTGGATGTGTGTTGACTAATGCTATTCCCCAGTCAGAGTCGAGTATTTATACGCCAAAAAACTCAGGGTAAAAGAACAAGTTCCCTGCAAACATGCGGATGTGGAATTGGTAGCTAATCCGGGCAAACCATATCGAATGGATTAGCATTGTTCGATGGAATGTTTGTTTATTTTTACACTCCGTCAACAAACTGACAATTGGCCAAAAGGGGAAGGTGGGAGAGTCCGACTGGCAAACTGACAAACTGACAGACTGACAGTAATGAGAGCTTGATTGTTTGTCCGCACCTTTTGGGTCAAACTTGGTGACAAGCAAAAAATGTTAGAAAATAGCTTTGGAAAAAGATTGAAAGCGGAATCATAAAATAATTGCGCTTAAACTGAAAACGTAAGTGGATAGAAATCATTGTAATTCACGTCATCGAAGTGATTTTTCATTAAAGCCTTGGCATTGAAATTTAACAATAATAAATCAATAAAACAACTTTTTTAGTTATTTCATTTATTTGGGACTATCTCAAAAATATTTGTATGTCTAAAAATTAATAACTAGTCACAATAAATTTAACTACGGTGGACACCCTATCGATAACCTAGTACCTGGTTACAGTTTTTTTTCACCAACACCTTGTCTATATGAACAAGAGTCAGAAAATACACGATATTTCTTTGTCCTAGCAACTCTCTTAAAAGATTATGCTCATACTTATACTTGCCAAATAAAATTTAGTGTTCCTTTGAAAGTGAAAGTGTTTAGGTGCTAACGAAAGAAATGGAAGAAATTCTTATGCAGAGAACATTTGTCCCAACTTGGAGAAAGTACAATTGCATACATGCATTCAAAAAGCGGTGAGTTCTTGAGTTACACCTACACGTATTGAAAAGAAGTCATGGATATACTCCTTAGCTGACTTGCTACTCCAATTGTCATAGGGAATTCTTTTCGAGGCTTGTTTTTGTTTTCATAGAGTTTGGTATTTTAAAAATACAAATTTAAATTTTAAATGAACTAGTTCTGTGGACTCAAAAGTGTTGGTAAAGGCGATCTATCGATAGAAATGAACAGTGCTCAGCAACGTCGCACTAAATGTCAACGTGCTTAGTGTCATGTAATCAAATTTCCTTTTCATTTCCGGCGTCGACCGATTCAGTTCGCTTATCTGAAAAGCATTTTTTCTGATTTCTTTTCGAAGAAAGTAGAAAGGTAAAGCACTTGTTTAACTCTTTTCCATTTGCTAAAGGTGTTTTTCCACAGCTTCTTAACAATGTAGCCCAGGAACGCCAACGAACCCACCATCTTTCGGTTTATTTGGGCCAATAAACGCCATGTCATCGTCTGTTTGATGATGTTCGTAGTTTCGGGAGCGACGTCGATATGGGACTTAGACAGAGTGTTCGCGGAGGAGATAGTATTCTTGATACTGGGCTTCACTGGGCAGGAAACATCTTATGGAGCCACTGGAGCACACTACTGATGATCTTGGCCGTCACCTGGAGCCATTCGATGTACTGAAATGGAGAAACAAGAAAGGTAGCAAACTTCGGCAAGCCGAAGTTTATTCACCCTTGCAGGTTATTCCTACAGGACCAGAGCTTTTCAATTTTCAGAAAACTTAAAAATAATTACAGAAATATTACAAAGATCGCACATATATTTTCCGATTCTTCCTGTAGCAGCTGTATGATATTGTAGTCCGATTTTTATTAAATTGTATTCCTAATTGTCAATTTTTATAAAATGCTATATACCGGAGTAGAAGAGAATATGATCAAATGAGGTTCTCTAATCTCAGTGTTCATAAATAGAATGCAATCCTTCTTTCAAGGAGTTTTTTTGCATGGGTGGAGTAGCCTCTTCCGTTGAGTCCCCCACACATTACCCCATTTAGGAACACATCTGTATAATCCTTTGCAGCAAAGTAAATTAACATTATTTCTCCATTCCAGTACATCGAGTGGCTGCAGATGACGGGCAAGAAGATCCGGACCTCGGGTCTGGTGGAGGAGCATCATTAGGCGCCAAGATTATCAAAGCTAGTAAGATGCCGAATGTCAGTAGTGAACTCCAGTGGCTCCACGAGAAGTTTTCTGTCCACTGAAACGGTAGCAAGTTTACTATCTCCTCCCCGACCACACTGTCCAAGTTTCATATCGGCATCGCTACCGAAACTGTGAACATCATCAAGCAGACGAAAACATGGCGTTTGTTGGCCCAAACGAATCGAAAGATGGTCGGTTCGTTGACGGACCTGGGCGTCATTGGTGGTCGAGGGATTCGCCCTGATGGTATCACCCAGCACAGCTCCAGAGGCAGACGTCCTGTTTGTCGGCATCCTCAGACAGAGATCGAACCATATTTTGGCCCTGGTGCTTGGCCTTACTACATAGGATCTCTGGGCTTCTTCAAGTGTGTTCTGAGGCGCCTCGTCAAGGTCCTGTTTTTGGGTGCCCAGTGCTTCTTTGAGAAGGCTCTGGAGGAGAAAAGCCGCTGGCGGAATTTCTTGCTTGAAATGGCCATCCTGAGGACCAATCAACGCGACCCACATCTTTTTAAGAGCGACGTAACAAACCTGCCTCGAAAGCAATAGGGTCCCGAGAAATCAATGATATTAATGCAAGCGAAGCCGTGTAAGTGGCCTGAAATGGTGAAATAAATATACATGTGAAAGTGCTGAAACTAGTATGGTTAAAGACAATGTCTTTTCAGTTGGCGGGGTCATCGTCCGACATTTTGTCTAGTTTAACTATGGGTATGGGGGCTATCTCCATATGTCGGTTATTACCCAAATTGCTATTAATTAAATTTACACATTGTGGAATTTCGATCGAGCTTTCCTGTGGCAAACACGAATGATTCATTCAATTTGCTGCTACACGAAATGTGTCAGGTTCTCTCTGGGGAGCCCCCAATAAAGAAAACAGCACCACACATGTTCATTTGAATGTCGAAGGAGCCGCAGGACATTGGTGTCCTGCTCGAATTACGCATCTACTTGACTGCCACTTTGTAACTGTCAGGGAGTCTAACGAACCGCACCGAAAACCCACTCGAACTGAGTTCCACCGAACCGAAAGTTAAATGCTCGTCGGGCAAACGCGAAAAATGATTCGTGGAAGGGGTGCTGGCGGCTCATTAATATCAATTTATGAGCTGAGACACGAAATTAGTCTGTGACAAGTTTCGCCGCAGGATGTGGACACACAAACAAGCGCCCACATCCTGCCATCCATCCATATATCTATATATCCTCATATCCATCCACACCAACTCCACAGCCACTCACACATGTCGTTGCTTTGTTTCCTGGGTGCTGGGCTCTGGGTTCTGGGTGGTTGAGTGGTTTTGGCTCCGTCTGGGGTTGCGTTAATTAATTCCGAAAGTGTATTGCGTGTCCTGCCAAAAGGACAAATATGCGTACACGACTCATGTCCTGTGGTGAAATGGGCTTGTTACGGGTGTCCGTACTCCCTGGCACCCCACTGCCGCAAATTATGAAAAATATTTCCAAATAAATCAGGCAAAACGAGCTGTCCGAGCGAAAATACATATTTGTTAACCCCACTGGAGATACTTGTTTTGGTCAGGGATTTTTCATCCTGGGGCAGGCATTTTCCATTTTCCACATCCAGTTTTGAGCCCTCCCTCGGTTGATACCAACACAAAAACCAGACCAGTTTTATACACATTTTCTTCTTTATTTTTTGTTCACTTATTTTCACTTGTTTTTGCTCATTTGCATATTAAGTTTTCATTTGCTTTACATTAAGGGGAACTAAACGAAAAGTAATGTTGTTCGCACGAAAAATAAATATTCAATTCGCTTACAAATCAAGGGTTAATTAAGAAAATATATATATGCCTAAGTTTATGTTTGTAGAGTCGAAAGTTCTTAGCTGCTAAGTGTAAACCAAAATTAAATTTCATTCTCAAGTTTTTCGTTTTTCCAATTTATAATTCGAGTCACAATTCAATTTGATTTTGTCATTGAAGAAGCACTTTTCATGTTGGTTTCTTATGGTGGGAGGGGTGTGAAAGAATCTTTAAACGGGAAAAACTTTAAGTTCGACCTTAGAGCGACTACGTTGAATGGAAAATCGGGCTTTTCTTTGGGCAGGTGGTGGCGAAGATGCACATTGAACTTTTGTTTTATATTGTTTTACTTCTTTTCTGCGCGCGGCTTAATCGTGGATACATACAGATCATTTATATATTCGTATTATATAGATTTGATAAAGTTCTCGACAACAGATGCTTATAAAATTTCATACCACACCTAACAAAATATGATTCGATGCACAGATACATATACAGTATAATCCGTTTCGCTCCACACCATATCGTATTGTATCGTATCGTATCGTACCGCTCGTAATATATATAGTTTGCGCCTATTTCAGATTCCTCTGTCGGTTGCTGCTGCTGTGTTGTGCTATACGTATTTTGTCGATATAGAGATATGCCATTAAATTCTGTAATTTTACCATACTTATATATGATCAGGGGGATAGTCTTTTCGTAGATTCGCAATGTGACTAACTAAGTTCAATTTAGTTTAGGCTACATTAAGTGGCTAAGTCGTAAACTAGTTTAAGTATTAGCTGACCTGATCCTTAAATGAGTTACATATATACACATCTATAGCTTAACTAGTTGCGGTTCGGCAATCTCTTAGTTTGAAGTCTAAACTAGTGTTTCGTTAATTTCCCAAGCATAGCTCATAATGTTCACTTGTTATACTTCATTTTCTTTTTTTTGCGCACAAAGACAGATACAGTAGATAATCAAATAAATGCCTTCCTTTGTGGTTTTCAGTTACACTTTAGTCGGGTTCGAAAACAATGCTAAGTCCAGAGTACACATAGGCTATATCTATATATATGATTTATTTTAGGTTAGTTCTCCGTCGCCCCGCTGCTCTTTGTGTGGAAGTCTTGTCGAGTTTTCAATGCAGCTTAACTACTATAATACAGATTTTGGGATTCAGTTGTATCTTGATTACTTTTA